CACACAAAGGCAATGTGTTGGACAGAAAAGAGACCAATTGAGCATGTCGCCCCTCTGAGCTGTTATCTACTGAAGTAGGAGAACAAAGCTTCATATCAGACATGAGAATCAGGGATGTAAAAACATTTTGCAGTTCAGACTGAGCTGTTTCAATGCTCTTAAAAAGACAGTATTAAGCAAATGGAGGAAGTAGTCTACCCTAGAGGGGTGAAGAGTGTTACGTTGTCCTGAATTATCTCTTAGTAATGACGCTGTTAAACCCTGTACCCAAACACCTAGTCATTAAGAAAAAGATAAGTATCTGTGGGAGTGGAAGGGCTCTTCTAAAGCTGCATGTCTAGAGGGGGTAAGGATGTGGTGGGCAGGGAAGGTTTAGAGGGCTGGGGTGGGAGGCTTTGACCAATGGGTGTCAGATGTCATGGCAGATTCTTTCAGGGGCAAATTACAGGGTTTAACTTCTCTTGTAACCGGGATGCCAGTATTCTGATTCAACTTCCTCGATAGACACTCGAGCAACATGCTACTCAACACCATTGTCGGGTGTCCCCTTGACTCTGGAGATACTTCACCTCCTCTCACGCTCTCAGCACCTCTTCAAGACTGTATTGGTTGAGTGCCACTAGCGGCCTTTCTCGTGGCTCCTGGAGGGAGCAGAGCAGTGTAGCCCCCTCTTAAGCTTTATAGTAGTTAGCGTGTTGGTGTTAGGGAGCTTTACATGAGTGGCCCTTATTAACCTCTTAGCGTCTTTGTGCTATGAGTTGGCACAGGGCTGCTCCATAGATAAGCTTTATCAGCGAAAACACTTGATTCTAATGACTCTGGCATAAGCTGAACATAATCAGGTGTGTTACTAACGAACACATCCAGATTGTGCATTCACATCTGTCTGAACTCACACTTTTTCTTACCTCGCCTCATACATGCACACTGTTGTTGTCCATACACAACTTCTCTAAATGCCCCTACCTCACACACACATATTCCCTGTGAGCTGTAACAGACCCCAAAGCTCTCTGAAGCATTTAGCAGCTCGCTCGCAGGTTTGCTCTACCATGCCGGGCTGAGGGGAGTGCTGAAGCATCTAATGCAATTTCAACCCAACATGGCTCTCTGTGAATAAACATCACCGAAGTGTACCATCTACTGTATGTTGATCCACTGTAGTGCTTTCTTTTTTCTCCGAACAACCTGATCTAATACGCTGCCCTCCCTCCCTCTCTCTCTCTCTCTCTCTCTCTATCTACTCTGATCGATCTCTCGCATATCTCTCTCGCGACTAGCTCCTCTATCTCTCTCTTATTTCTCTCTCTCTCTCTCTCTCTCTCTCTTCTCTCTCCTCTATCATATGCTCGCTCTCTCTCTCTCATTATCTCTCGCTGATTCTGTAGAGACTGACTGCTCCAGACTGTGAGCAGGGGGGAGCTGGCAGGAGCGACAACGGTGGCCTCAGCCTGTGGCTCCGGCTCTTCCGGCAACAAACACCTGGACTTCTAGCGCTCCCACACAGTCGCCATGGGCAACCCACGCCTGGAACGCCGTGGCGTTGTCCTCTTTACCATGGCGACCAGGTTGTTCCCTTGCCCACATGATGTCAACCTTGTTAACCCTGCCAGCCTTTACCACCTGCCAACTGTCCAGCCAGGGGTGAAGATCTAAACATCCACAGTGCTTTGTCTCATAACGGACATTTCATTTTTTAAATAAAGCAGTACACTATTTTTTTGCACATTCCAAGAATAAAGATGAGTTTATTTAACTGAATGTATTGGCCAATGATTTATATTTTACCTTTAAGTTAGAAAATAAATACCTTTTGGTATTTTTGAAATGTTATATAAATATAAATGAATGGTATGATAACTAGAACCTAACCCATTACATGATAAAAAATGTAGGGTTATTTAAGATTTGGGACTTTGTTGTTCTCTGTCTGTGGGGATTTTGAAGAAAGTGTAATCATGAAATATTTTGTAGTCTTTACAGACTCTCACTCTTGGTAAACATTAAATAATTCATCTGCATTCTCCCAGGCTCTGAGAATACTGTACAAAACACAAATGGCCCCTCCTGCCTAGCTCCACCTTGCACAAGAGCGGTTTATTCTGTTCGATAATGCAAAGAAATGTGCTTTTGTTTAGTCAAATAAAATAAAAATAAATACAAAGAACACAATATATGCTCTTTATGAATGTTTTACTTCACTGCGCCTCAACACCATAAGGAAATGTTGACTGCCTGTGAGACTGAGAGAGGATGTAAAGTGAGTGTGTTATGAATGACTCTGGTCTGCATCGCTGGTTTCAGGTTGGAGTAGGGATGCCTCCATCTGACCCTGAGACGTCCACCTCCACTAAGCTGGAGAGCTCGGGAGGATTGTGGGCAGAGGGTAGGAGAGCTGGATTTGGGTGCAGGCTTCACACCTCATCAGGCGTGTTTGCTGGATGAGCTGCTTTGCCATGACAAGCCCAAAAGAACAAATTAGGTCAAATGGTGACATGGAGAAACGGAGAAAAAAACAACAACATGAAAAATTAAATGTTTCATTGTTGTTTTCCTCAGTCTGCTGTTGATGCCAGTTTGAATAATTCTGACTGCGAAAACTGGCAGCATTGGTAACCATCTGCAGCACGTGTTGCGAGAGGGTAGTGTTACCTGACAGTTTCATGCATGAATGAAGTGCGCTTATATCGGGTGTATGAGAAAGAGAGATGACATACACGGGTCACTTATACAGGTGAGCAAAAGCTTGTCAAGATAACAAATATTTTCCAAGTAGTTGTTGTGCAAGAGCTGACATATTCAGGGTACACTGTAAATGTGGAATAAAATAGAATCAATTCATTTTGGCATTTGTTTATGTTGACATACTACAGTTTCTTACAGATTGTACATCTGCATTTCACCACGCTGCGGATTGACTTGTTCAGTGAGTTCAGAAAGTGCATCATTTTCAAGTTCTGCGACCATTGAAGGTGTACAATATCAGTTTAATAATAAAGAAAGCCTCATTCATTATACAGCTGTTCAACATTAATGTAAATATTTTTAAATATGACTTCTTATACCTGATTTGAAGTGTTAGTATTTTTTCCTCAGATTTAGTCGGTTACATCTGGTTAGATATACACGGGCTAAATTAGTCACATGTTTCTTTAATGAGTATGAAAAGTAATTCAGGGTGTAAGGAAATATCAATTAATTTAAGCCTCTGAACACAATAACACAATGACTTGAACTTCAGGTGAATAACGTACTCCTCCCTGTTCAGTATTATCTGGATTAATATCACGTGAAGCTCTTTAAACACTCATCCTTCTCACCTCAACTATAGTAATACATATTACTGTTCTTGGGCAACCCGGACATATATATTTATTTTATTATTTCTGATTTCTCTTAATCCTCCTTTCTTATTGCTCAAATCTCAATAAGGGTGTATAACATGTTTTATAACAGCTCATTAAATATTTAAACCTGGGGGGGAAATGGCATTTTTTTGTCTTGTTTGCATTTGGTCTTAATACAATTTGCAACAACGACACATAAGATGGACACTCAGTGCTGTTGGCAAATTTCAGAGACCTACTTCTTGAAAGCCTCACTTAGCCTTTAGAAAAGACAGGAAGCCATTGGACCGAGGGCTGAGAATACGCTTTTATTATCGTGTCTTTTGGCAGCTGCCGCTCATGTCCTATTGATTCCTCTCCAAAGCCATAGTTGTTTTCCTGCAGTAGCTTTAACTGAGGTCTTATGGATTGTATTATTGAATGTCCGTCACAGTGCAGCACTATTCAAGTAGCAAAATGTGGGACAGTACATGTTTACCATATTGGACTCTGCCAATGTTGGTTTAATAAAGCCAGCTTTAAATCACAAGGTCACCATATTTGTCCAAGACAATGTACAAAATACCTAAAGCAACACTTTTTTGTATTTCTGTGGGAATTAAGATTTCAAGGTCAGAATGATTGTGTCTCATTAAAAAAAAAAACAGATCAAAAAAAGTTCTGTAAAACTTTTCCCAAAACTTGAATTGGCTGACTTGGTTTCAGAGGGAGAATTACATTTAAACCTTTTTATCCCAAGGCTGTATATTATTTAGACTTCCTCTAATTGCAGTTTTTTTTTTGCCTTTTGAATTTATTTTTAATTCTCTCTGTAATTATTAATGTTCCTCTTCCTCTTCCCCACGCCTCCCCTTGCTCTCAAAACACTGTTCCTCAGTCTGTGTGATAAACTGGATTAAATGAACAGAGAAAACTGCATTAGCTTTAGAGAAAAATGAATCCTCTTAAAGATCTGATTAGCCTACAATCCTCTAAGTTCTGATTGGACTATTAAATATCAAGTGAGACGTGTAAATTCAATTAATCAGTTTAGCACGATACTTGCCGCTGTGAATTTTACCTGACCTCGCTCTCTCCTGGACATCCTTTCCTTTAGATGCTCTCTCTCTCCCTCTCTCTCTCTCTCTCTAACACACCCCCTCAATCCACACACATACACACAGACACAACCCCCCTGCTGAGGCAGCAAGTGAAGCAAAATAACTCACTCTGCCACACAATCGCTCCTTTGCCTCGCTCTAGGCACTGACTGCTTTATCCATGACTTTTTTTCTCTCTCCTCTGCTCCCTTCTCCTCTTCATTGGTTCTGTATTTAATTTTTTTCATACCATCGTAACTCTAGTACAACAAGAGCCAGCGATGTTGAATTGCTTGACCTTTCTCATTGTGCGGCGGTGTTGTGCTGTGTGGTCTGTGTCGACTTGGTTCAGCCCATACATCAAGAGAGGTTTGTTTTTTTGGACACCTTTGTTTTGGTGGGAATTGGAGGTGTTGTGTGTAAAACAAGCTCTTGAACTGGCATTTGTCAGCATTTATATTTGTTAAAATGTGAGGATATGATGCATTGTGTCAATATTTGTGTTGCTCAGTAAATATGGACACGTTATAAGACAGAACATTGAACAGGCAAAAAGGCTTTCTTTAAGACACAATTTTACTGTACAAAATGTTTTATAGTTTTCACAAAATACATTTAGAAAGCTCCATTTTAAATAAAAATTAAATTGAAATATTTAAGAGACAGCGTGTAGACGTTTTTATCTCAGAAGCATTGCTCAGACGTAAACCCAGTGTGTGTCCATGTTCTACGTACACACTGAAATAAAAATGCAAAACTCAAAATAGCATGACGGATGATGCTAGAAAAACCCTCCCATGGTCTTCAATTATAAATAAGGACTGCGTGGTTCGACTGCAGTCTTACGAATTCGAAGCCAATGTAATCGAACAGAACGTGTTTACAAAATGTTGCAACACAAGACTAATATCTTTAAAAAAACATTGTGTACTAGATGAAATACAAAGGCTTTGGTCTGTTTTACAATCAACAATGATTAAATCTGATATGTACTTGTAAACAACTGCCAAACACTTAAGTTTAAAACTCTGTCAAGCAATGTTTAATCATAATTATAGGAATTAAATATTTCTAGTTGCACAATTTTTTTTCGACCATAGGACACTATAATACAACTAAACCTAAGAGACAAATTGTACCTGACCCTAAAGAAATGTATTTCATGATGCATGGAACATTTATAGAATATTCTCAGGGATATAAATGAAATCAACTTTTATTGGAGAAATCTTTCTGGAAGATTTCTGGGGAAGACAAGTACTTTACATTTTGACAAACAAACTGGATTATATCGAAGACGCAGTCTACCATTTACAGACTACAGGTTTTCTTTTACACCTGTTTCCCACGTTTAATGTTCTTCGTGGTAATCTAGAGTCAATCCAACCACCGAAGCAAGAGGTCCGAGTTGTGTCGCATGTTGTGCCGTCTTTGCACACTTTGAGCTGTTGATAGAGATCCGTGTTTAATAGGCCGGCAAACGCAGGCCCACATCAGAGGAGTCAAGACCACAGCCTCAGTGGGTGGATCGAGTCTGAGTTTTCCTCTGCTAAAAATCCACTCGTAAGAAATAAGACCAATAAATAGTTGTTTTTTTGACACAGTAAGAGTCTTCCCTCCAGCTTTTCGTCTTAATGATATGCAACAGCGTCCAGAGACCATGCAAAGGCTGGTAGAAAGTCTCGATATAAGCAGATCAAAAGATAGTCATGGCAGAATCTCTCAGGTTCTTCTCTCTCAAACAAACGCAAGACCAACATGGTTTTCTAGCAGTCCATCTATCAGTACTTGATCTTGGTTTTTCATATTAACATACAAATGGCCATTTACTAACACACCAGAGAAAAAAGGAAACAATGACTGAAGTTGGAAATAGAAAAAAAAACAGATACGTTTTTGTTCCATAAAAATTTAACACCGGGCACTTTACAGAGGTCCATTTTTTTCTGTCTATCCATTGTTGTTCTCTCTTCCAAGTCCTCCTTTGAATGTGCCTAGAGCTACAGAACAGCACACAGTCCCACTGGAAAACAAAAGCCCAGATGTCCCAAGGCTCTCCCAGAGTCTCTTTCTTTCTCTCCTCCTCTCCTGTCCTTTGCTGCTTCACAACCCTCTCTCCTTCTTTACTCTCCTGTGCCGTGTATGTGTGAGGAGCACTGCCGGAGGGCGATGGTGGAGTGGGTGGTTAAAGGGTGAAGTAGCTCTTCTCTCTACTGTAGTCTTGACCAGTACTGAGACATGTCAGGCTCGCCCCCTGGGACCTGGACAGGGACAGACACTCCAGGAGAGATGAGTCCTGCAGAGACAAAAAGAGAAAATGTCAGTAAAACAAATAAATATAAATGAAAACCCCAGAAGTCAACATGGTAAATATGATGCACAGTTAGTGTGACAGCTAACACTAGTTAGCCTCATAGCACAGAGCATTGTGCTTTAAATGCTTGCAAATAGGTAGACGAGCAGTGGAGCCGCAGTGAGTCACAATGCTCTGCACATGGATGCACAGTAAAAGGCTTGCAAGCTCGATAAATTGAGGCTTTGGCAATGGCATTTAAACAGAGAGAGTAGAACAGCAAATGAATCAAATTAATTAGCAATTTAGCACAGAGGAAATGTGGTTATGCATGATTAACTCTTCATGACTATAACCGGTATATATGGCTCCCAGTAAAAGCATCCTAATGGGGTGGAACTAAACTATGGGCTGGAGTAGTGGGGTTGACATGATGGCGTAAAGCGCAGAGATGAAATGAGCTTCATGCAACTGGAGAAGGAAATTGATATGGAAGGTAGAAATATTGATCCGTTTAAAACCATAACGTTTCTCAGATAGATGGAAAGGAAAAAGAAGTTGTTGCAACAGATCATGAATCAAAGATGGCTATGTAGTACCCCTTAAATTACAGGAAATGTGGCAGATGTTTCAAAGAGTGCACTGTTTGTTAATTCCAAAGCATGTTGGTAAACAATGAACTGTCTGCCTACCTGTTGAGGTGGTACCAGAAGCGCTCATTGATTGGCTGTTCATATGTGCCTGCATATGAGGGGGCGTGTATGTGTCGTAGCTCCGCCCGTTCACAGGCGGACTGGTAGGCAGCATGCAGGAATAAGAGGTCTGGCTGGGCTATAGATGGGGAAGAGAATGTGACATTAGCTTAGCCAACCATAGGTGTAGTCTTTAATTCTGTTATTTTATATAATTTATATTTGTTGTTCTCTAAGAAAGTATCCTTTAATTTTGTTTTGTTTGGTCAGTAACCACAGTTCTATATTACTCATGGTCTGTTTCATTCCACTCTTACAATCATATCAATCTTTATAAAATATCACAGGAATTAAACATCATGCACTAGTGAGCATTATGGTATTTTACTTACTTGCATAGATAGATTGTTTCCCATGGTGAAGCTGGGCATGGGGGGCAGCGCACTGTAAGTGTTTGCGAGTGCAGAGTCAGGTCTACCCAGCATTGACCCCGAGGTGAAAGATACTGTGGATGAAAATAAAAATAGTTAAAACCCGCTAAAATAACACAGAATGAGAGTGAGCGTCTCATTAACATTAAGTAGCTCAGTGCGTGCGTAAAGTGACGCGTTATCCGACAGGCTGAGCGGCCCGGACACATACTGTAGGCCTACAGCACAGCGCGTGTCTCAGGTGATTGACTTGTGAGCATGAGCTCTGCCGGTGTGCCCTCGTGCCTGATTCGGTAATCAAGCAGATAGTCAGCTGAGAAGTTTTGCTCAATCATCCATCAAAAGGAAACCACCGGAGCTTCTTCGTGAGAACTAGAACGCACAGCCACCGAGGCCTCTTGTCCTCTTTAATATTTATCCGCTTGCTGTCACACAAAAATATGTTATAATATTTCATCTGTTGTCTGACTTGATCTCACTGACATTTAATGTATTATTACATTAAAGTATTACAGTAACGGTGACGAGTTATTGTATGTGGCGTTTGCGCAATGCAATCGTTGACATATTCTCAGAGATGGAAGTACTCAGATATTGTATACTTAAGTAAAAGTAGAGCTACCAGAGTGTAGGAATACTCTGTTAAAGTCTTGCATTCAAATTGTGACTTAAGTAAAAGTAAGTATTAGCATCAAAATATACTTAAAATGACAAAAGTACTCATTATGCATATTGGCCAATATATAATATATGTTCTGATCATAGTTAAGGATGCATGAATGTGTTTATTAAAGCTAGATGCAGCACATTTTAATTACTTTGTAAGGGATATTTTGTGAATGTTATTCCAGTTAACTTAATGTTATTAAAGTGTTGATTATATTTCACATCATTATTCTAAATCTGCAAAGTAACTTAGGGTATTTAAAGAATGTAGAGGAGTAAAAGTACACTACCACTTATTTGTATTGGGGTAAAAGTACAAAGTATCAAAACAATTGAAATATTGAAAGTCCCTCTTTCACTAGTAGCTACTTGAGTAGGCCTACTTAGTTACTCACTGCATATTCTATTTTAAAATGAAATGGAAATATTATTTTTAGCGGTGTCCTGTAAGTGTTGTCCCGGATGTGGAGGGCCTACCCGGTGTGGTGGGCTGTGGGATGGCCTGGTAGACGCTAGTGCTGAAGCTGCTGCTGATGGGGATGTGGGAGGAGGAGTTGTTGGCCTGCCGGCGCTGGTTCCGCAGCTTCTCCTCTCGCCTCCACTTTGCTCTTCTGTTTGAGAACCATACCTGCAAATGATTTTGCTTATTAGTTTGCTCACGTGCATTTACTTTGCGTGCAACTTTTGAAAACTGTCATACATCCGTTGCAACAACAACAAAAATTTGGATCACTCACTTGTATTCTTGCTTCGGGCAGGTCGATTTTCGCTGCTAGTCTCTCTCGCGCGAAAACATCTGGATAATGAGTCCTTTCAAATTCTGTAATGCAATAAATCGTAAAAAATAAGTAAGTAATAGTTTAATATTATAAACATTATTCATTTCAAAACAATTAAGAACGTATTTGTGTTATTAGGAATGCATGTTGTATCATTAAAAAAGTCAATATGGCAGATAAATGATTCACTGATTGCTCCACCTTTTTCCAGTGCTTCAATCTGCTCCTGTGTGAAGGACGTGCGGTTTCTCTGTAGTTTCCTCTTGAGCTGCAGTCTCATCTGTGTCTCCTCTGAATCCTCCCCGTTCGAGCTGATAGAGTTTGTGTTTTCGCCTGCACCGTCTGGTTGTGGGCAACCATCTGCACAATAAAATATAGAAGAAATATACATTAAATTAAGCTAATTGAATAATTAATTCTCTGCTCTCGTGTTGTATCGGCTTACAGCTAATTGTACAGACCGCGGTGCAACATCATTAATTAAAGCCCCTATCATGGCTGATTAAATTCAAAATCAGATGAATTATTGCCGTTTTTTCCTAATGTTGACAGATTACAGACGACTGCATGCGTGAAAAGGAACAATATGAAAAAGGCTCCGCGGTTAAACTGTTTATAAAATATTGTGGGAAAAACAGGCTGCAGAGGGAAAGGCTCCGCGTACTTATCGCTTCCCAACAATGGCGTGTGTTCTCAAAAGGTTAAGAGAAATGTGACAAGATGTGGCGAGCCTCTTTTCAGAGCCTATGAAATGTATTAAAACCCCAAACTCTCTAGCCCCCTTTTTTAGGGCAGAGCAATGCCTCAATGGTCGTTCCCATATGGGCGTTGGTATAGCCATTGAGGTGACCACCAACTTTTGAATAGAAGAAGACGCTTTTCAGAATGATACAATGCCTTCAGGAGCAAGGGAAACCATTAAACTATGGACACAGCCAGGGACGAGCAGTGAGCCCTCGGTGGGTGTAATATATGGGAGGGGGGCTTTTGGAGGAGATGACAAAAGGATCCTCTCTCTCTGGAGGCGCGCAGGCTATAGTACTTTGGCATTGTGCGTACGAGGATCCCAGTCAACAGAGCTTTGAGTCCAGTGTGTTAACCCTTATCCACTACCATCATTAATCACGTCCCCCGGCCAGCTACACGCCAGTCAGGATTTCTGTCTTCAATTGGAAACAAATGAGTGAGGAGAGAGCATGCAACCCCCTGAACAACCAAAATAAGACCAATCTATTCACTGCCCCTTCAGTTTGCAGGGCGAGGCTTATCGACTAATGTCTGTCTTGTTGTTGGACATCATTATCACACCGAGAAGTTAATGCGAAAGTAAGCAGGGGTGCGTTGATAAGAGGGTGGTTGATGTAATATCTCACGGATGTTTGTTTGGAGCAATGGGTTGAACTCATGAAGGGAAATTCATCTTTTGGCATGCAGATTTTGATTTGCATATTTAGTCATTAGTGGCTTGCTCAAGGACACGAGGGTGTTGCAAGGTTTTGGACAGGTGTAGTGAGGCCTATATAAATGCATGTACTAGGCTTTGTGCCGTGAGTAACATGCATAGCCAAAAAAAAGTATTGAAAACTTTTTTGGGGGGGTGTGAAAGATGTAGCAGTTAGTGCTTTATATTTTCTTTTTTAAACCGTTTCCATTCGCTCACAGGCAATTTGACTGCTGTAGGTCTGAAAACATATTTAGTGTGTTTAAAAGTTCTGGAGGAAAATCTGGTGCTACACGTTTCTTGACAATTTCCCTCGCTGCAAAAATACACAAAAGTATTCTTCTATAGGCCAATAGTTTGTGCTATTTGTTTCTTCACTCAGGCTAATCCATAAAAAGGAGTGAATGTGCAGCTATTATCCGTCTGCCAGACCCACTGACGCTAGGATGGGATTTGTTTTCTTTATAAAAGCGCTGGGAAATAAACTCATTCTTTAGTATCTCGGTGTCTCAGCCAGTGAGGCGGAAAAGCAGCAAAAAAGAGATACCGAACCAATTGCGGCACCTTTCAGCTGCTGAGACCGGATCAAAACACTCTTGAGAAACCGCTTAGAACTGAAAGAGAAAGTGAGAGACTAAATCCTATAGACGGGATTTAGAGCCATATAGCCAGCGAATGAGAATGAGATAAAAGACGAAATCGGTGAGGAGTTTTTATTCGTTCCTTTTGGATAGAGTTGTCTTCTTTTGGGGCCCTGTCACTCTCCATGTAGCCATTATATCTGCTTACTCGGCTGTCAGATGGAAAACATATTTTCCTTCCCCTGAGACAACTGCTTAACTTAAACAGTCATTGAATTCAAAACACATTTAATGCTAATTACTATTACTGTAATTATTATTATTATTATTATTATTATTATTATTATTATTATTATTATTATTATTATTATTATCATTTAGAATATTAATTATAAAATATGAACTTTTTAAATAATAATTAATACATTTTACAGGCATTAGGGTAACAACCGTAATTAGGTCAAAAACATTTAAAAAAATAGAATGTTGCTATTTAAAATAATAATAACAAAAGCAATATTATTGATTTGTATTTTTTTTTTATTACATTTAGCTGTCCATATGGTCGTTTCCGCTTTACTGCTTGTTGATAACAGCCCACGTGTCCAAATGGTCATCAAACAAATGCAAATTATAATTTGATACGACTGAATTCCAGCACTTGCATTTCCCTTTTCTGATGCAAATCAATGAATGCTTCTATAGCCTAATACTTGTTTCATGAATGGATATTTAAGACGCAAAGAAAGCGTATAAGGTGATGCTTCCAATAAGAAAATGTGCTCAGTGTTCGGCCTGCAGAAGGCCGACAGGAAACCCTCTGAAGTGGAACATTTCCACAGCAGCCTTACCATCTCCACACTCCTGCATGTTGCCATAATGAGAGACAAAGCCCTCTCTAATGAGCAATTACACGTAGTGCGGGCCGTTCCCATAACCAATCATTGCGTGTGAAGGAAAACATTCCTTTGTACTAATATCCCCGCACACAGCTCCCCAGCTCTGCCTCCCCATCAGGAGGGGAGGAAAATGTAGGCTGTTGGGTGGACACCTCTGCTGAAAGGACAAGTCGCTGTCACGCACATCCATGTCTGGGACAGTGGAGGCATTCAGACTGCATGCATGGCCTATGGCTTCCTCTAATCGACTAGTCTTAATTGGGGGTCTTGTTCAGGGCATCAAAGCATGCCAAATACCTTATTGCATACAGAGCCTTGTACCGGAACTACTGGAATAGAAAGCTGTAAAACTATTCATATTCAAACATGGCAATTTATTGTGACCACGGTGGAGTTCACATGTATCCCTATGCAGCCACATTCAAACATGGATGGTGAAATATTTATTTGGGTCTGACAATATTTTAAATCCTTATTTTTTTAAAGAACCGCATTCGTCAAGGTGTCTTTATTGCCACTGTGTGATAATGAGGCTCACCTTGGTTGGGCTGGCCTGGCACTGATGTTCCGGGGTACCAGCCGGGCCGGGTCCCCCAAGTTCCTGTCTGACCGTTGAGCATTCTCAGTTTGTCATACATGCCATCTGCGCCCATCTGTTGCTTTTCACTAGCCAGGTTGCGGAGGACTCTGTTTATCGATGACACCTGAATGACAAATTACATGATATACAGATTAGATGGAGCGCCGTATCAGTGTACAAATATATAGAGCAGCGGTTTCATAGCACACATATAGGCTTAATAATAAAAATAAATGTACACAAGAAGGTGTTCCAAAGCGCACACATCGACAGCGAGCTGTTTTCACATCTGCGCGCCACACAATGTGAAACGCATTGTATTTAATAAGACTGAATGGTTCGTTGCCCATCTCCTTTTCCTCCACTGCATGAGGAAAAAAAGTCATTTCATGTGGCAAATTAAATCATGCACATAACTTACAGTCAGCACACTTACACTGGGTATGTTGTCGTTGGTGCAGGTCCCCTCCGACAGAAGTCTGTCACGGATCTCCCACGCAAAGATAGACGGACACTCCCGTTTGTACTGAGCGATTTTCGCGACCACCTCTGGAGTGGCGACTCTGGGCTTGCTGCCGCCTATTGCTCTCGGTCTTATGGAACCAGTTTCATAATACCGGCCCAGTATTTTGCTCACACAGCCGTTGGATACCTGTATAGAAAACAAAAGACACAATTCACATACATTATTTACGACTATTAATGGAATTTCTGAGATGGCGTCAAAAAAGTATCACCTTTTCACTGTCCAGCACTTGGACTTCATCATGGGTCTATAAAAACAAAAAATATGCCTTGAATGGATATTAGCCATTTCCCATATTATATTTATTCTTTATAGAAGCTTGACGTTTACTGTAGGCTTACTTTGTATCGGTCTTATTAGGTTTCCAATAAAAAGAATTATGTAATAAATGATCATTTACCAGCTGAAAAGATCGTAATGCCAAATTCAGGCTGCTTTACTGCAGCTTAAATGTTGCATTTTAAAGATGGACTTCATTTTTGAAAAAGCATACATTTCATGCTTTGCTTAACGATTTTATAAAAATTGACAAAATCTGCATAAACGTGTTTCTGTGCAAAAGGTGTGTTAGTGTCACCTGCAGTATCCTGGAGATGTCGCAGGGTCGAGCACCACTGTGAGCAAGTTCAACTATTTTCTGCCTGGTGGAATCCGGCAGCGGTCTACCATTAACAAACACACCACCAAGCTGGTTTACGCCACTGTGACCTACATGGAGAGAAAAGCATCTCAGTCATCACACCGTTTTATAACTCCAATTAAAACATGTGATAAAGCAAATGAGTTTCATTTAATGGAGAAGAGAATGGTAAAAGCGCTCAGGATAACCGAGTGAAATATGAAACATGAAGACAGTAAACAGAGGCACAGACGGCATTTCGCAGTTCAATTCAAACAAGTCAATATCATATTGTCGAAAAAAGTGTTTAAAATCGAAGTGCACTAATTAAACTATAGTTTTAAGAAACTGTCACACCGGCACATTGCCCTCTGCAGAAAACACTGCGCAGTTATTTAGTAAGACATGCAGAAACTGGATTCAACTACAATAGCCTACCCTCACTTCAATTAAACTAGAACATTTAAAAACGTATTTTCTTATATTAAATGAAGACATCAGTCGATCTTTAGCCCCTAGGAAACTCAACCAACCTTTTATCAAACCGGCAAACTTCGTTATTAACAGTCGCATCTTAATCAATGACCAGACAATTAAAGCTGCGCAGCAGCAACATCCGCAACTCACTCCTAAACTATCTCCAAAATAACAACCAGCAGCACCGAAAATCACATAATATCCTTAACCCGAAATAATATGTTAAACTAGCTTATATTTAAAAGCATCGCTATTCCGAAAGTGACTTTAAATCGACAAGTTATTTCTACGATAGTCCTCCAAAACAAACAATAATTACGCATCAATACGACAGAAACCACATACAATACTAGCTCTAAAATAGCATTTTTATGATTGGTTATTGTCTAAAAAAAGATTGCTTTTTAGAGATTATTCCTTATATGTCCTATGGTATTCCTCTAAAGCATAGAATAAAGCAGCAAACCTGATGCCAAAAGGGAGAGCTGACTCCCCGGAGTGCCTGAGCTGCTCTCTGTTTCTCCGATCCCTTCCCCTGCGCTGCCGCCCGGTACATTGACTCCGGGAGCAGAGGCTCCTTAGCAATAAATAAGCTCCAAATATAGAAGAGGGGGAAAATATGATGAGCCTGCCTGACATTTGTCTTTAAAATAAAGCTAGCTGCACGTCAAGTTTGAGCTTAATTTCTGGAAATAGGCGGAAGTCGCCTCGGATCATGCATGGGAGGCTAATTGAAAAGATCAGTTGGAGCACTTGTGGCAGGCATGTCACTTTATGACACCGCTCTGCTTTTGAAAATCGCATCGTCACGACAAATAGTAGCATGATAAAAACGACCCTTTCTGTCTGCATTTGGATATCACTCAGACAAAATTGGACGCTACTCGTTTACCCTCCGAGGGAGACTTCGTTTTAAGGTGGCCAGGGGCTATGCGCGGTCACAGAAACGAGGGCGCGCCTGGATTCTTAACATATTAAAAGTGACAAGCAGTTTTTTCCCCCCCTTGTTTGTATTTGACAACAAATGCTCACAGCCACTGCAGTCCTGTTGTGTGCAATCGGTAGGCGTCTTTACTCTGCAATATGTCACAGGACTCTGCTTTAAACTGCTATTTAATTTTATACAAATTATCAACATGGGCCTGCGTGAAAAACAAAACTGTTTAATTGAGTAGCGCCTTTTGGCCGCTATGTGTAATAATCTTCCAGCGTGGATCTGATTGATAGTAAAGCCATTAGCATCCCTCCTGCTCTTTGGTAATTCCAGGATTAAGTGGAATTAATAGACTTCTTACGGGGAAATTGGCCTACCCGCATTAAGTAGTGCTGCTCTGCGGGTTCTCCAGTCACCTCTGATTTACAGCTATCATATAAATCCTCCGGATCGATAAAGCCGTCGGATAAGGACATCACATACAAATCAAACTCTCCTAAGGTTAAGTCTTAATCATGGCACAATTCCCTCAAGTGCCAGAGTGATCTCGCCCGCTGGCGCTGATTATGCGCCTTGTATTCTATTACAAGTCGACTAATAGGAAAACATATGGTGTCAATTTGGACGCTCCCCACCATATACACCCAGGAGTTATTAGCACAAAAGCCACGGAGGCCGTCGCGACCTTTAGACAACCCAAAGGGCCGGGCCCAATGATATCTCCTCGTCTATTTGCACCAGACATCACACGCCAAGCCTGGTGAGCATCCCATTATCATCAATCCGCTGCAAAGCAGAAGCACTGGGTATTGTATAGCAGCTTTGATAAGGCCTCATCATCTCTAGGAACACGGGCAAGCAAATAAAAAAAAAATCACAGGGAATAACCTATAAAATAAGACTCTATTTCTAGTTCGTAAAAAATATTAGTTTTATTGTCATCACAGGTCACTGTTATTATGATTCACACCTCTTCACATCAAACAATCCAACTGTCATCAAACACATTTTTTTTGTATCATTAATGCGCACAGATTACAGCACAGACACGTCATAAAGGTATAGATAATAATAAAATAAAATCAACCCACACACCTTCATCACAGATGTCATACACCTCTTGTCCAGCAGCAAGAGAGAAAATGATTCATGTTTATCCTTTTTGATTTCATCACACACCAGGAACAAAACAAATATGTGGGCCACTTTAAACACAGAGGCCTAAGCAACTTTGATTTTTTTTGATTGGCACCCACGACAATATGGTTGTTATCTTCCGCTGTGATTCCAGCCTGCACCTAGCAGTGAGGCCTGCGGTTATAATATGAGCATTTTTTTTTCTTCTTCATGCTGTCTGTCCGTGAAGAATATGGACTAATCTACATAAGACATTATTGCTATTCCTCATGTTTCATGCAGGGCTCTTCTCTACGCAGCTAATCTTGTATGCAGCCTGGCAGCCAGCTCTAACGCTAATGCAGACGGCTGTGCAATTATTTAATACCAACTCAAGCAGAAACAAAAATCTCCCTCTCAACCCAACCCCCTCTATTCTCCCTCCCTCTCTATGGAGCAGGACGACGTGTGATTAACTTGTTCAATAATAACTTCTCTACCTATCATTGCAAAAAATAAATTAACAGCAATGAGACAGCCATCAAATAACTGAGAATATGTTGCCCCTGCACCTCAAAGTCATGCAAATATATGCCTGCACATACATTTCCTTTCCTTTAAAGTGTTCTTAAAGTTATTTCGCTATAACAACCTGTGCATAATGTCAGTGGGTGTGGCCTCAATGCAACCACTTTAAATATTGCAGTTGTAATCAAAAGTTTTACAAATAAAAAGACATAAGAAAACAACTTACTGTTCTGCATCATTGAGGCTACGCCAGACTCCCACGCGGCTTGGCTGTGGTATTCTAAGCGTCACAAGGGGAAAACAAATATAGGTTAGCATCCTGTACACATTTTATTTGTTCACATTTAAATTATTTGCAACTTTTTTTGTAATTTGTTTTGTATTATTTAAGTTTCTCATCTTATCGTGCTATTATAATGTTTGGGGATCTTTGTGATTAAAACATTATAGATGCATAATGAATTTTCACATCCACTCAGTGTATGTGTATTTTAATTAAACTTGCCTGGAAACAGAGTTGACTGTCCACTCTACAACAATTTAGTCAATCATCTGCCGTTTTCACTACTTAATGTCTCCCTATAGGACAAAGCAAAACAACACATTAGCACAGCCACAGCTATACTGATGCACTTACTTTATCTTCATTTGTGCCCTACATTAACAATTAACCTAAATGTATCTGACAAGCAAATAAATTAAAATTGACGAGACAAGATTTTTTTAACATCTCTGTTGGGCCTGTTTTGAACTTGTTAAAAATAAATTCAGACTAACAGCTTAGCCGTGATGTTGGGCCTATAACTCTTTTACAGCACTATTTCTTTCAGGGCTTATAAAGCAATCAGCCCTCATCGTCTCAGCAAGAGGCTTCTATTATTATTTTTTACTTGATATCCCTCCTCTTGTGGAGTCTACCGTGGAAACTGTACAGTGACACACGTTGTCTACCTCGCCTCATTGCTCTGCAAAAGTCCAGACCAGGAGGGGGTACAAAGCTGCTGTACAAAGCCTGCTGGACTCCCAACAATGCACCCCCCCTTTTCTGCCTCCGTATACCTCAGACCCGGGGCGAATACTCGGCCTCCGCGACTAGAAACACACAGCTTCCCCACTAAACACACCAACAAGTTCAGATTAATACAAAGAGCCGGAGGCATGCATCCACCCCCTCCGGGACCATTCACACACACTCCCCCCCCCCCCACACACACACACACAGATACACGACCGTGACCCCGGTGCAGATATAGTGTGTGAATGTGGGTTTTGTTGTCCCTGCTTTTATAGAAAAAAAAATGTAAAAGTAATTTCTTGTTACAAATATGTGGTGGTTATTTTGTGCTGCTGGTGCAGGTTGTAAAGCGGGTTTTAAAGACACAACAGCGCAACAGGGCGCTCAATTGGAAAAGACAAATGCATTAAAGAAGCTATTGACTGGGAGACAGATAAAAAGGGGGCCAGGGAGGGAGAAGTCTGAAGTTTTCGTTTTCTCCCTCCATGCACAGTTGTGTTGTGTGCAGAGCAAAATGGCCTGATAGCGACGTCTAAAACAGCCTGTGTTTAGTCCATGGCTAGTTTGTAGGATGCACGCAGGGGCCGCCATTGCATTTAGATTGTAGCTTCCTTTCATGTTTAACAAATAGGTTGAATTAATCAAATTCAGATTCCATCACACTGGACCACATAGCCTGAGTTAGCCTGTTTAGCATAACATAAATTTACCAAAACAACCACTATTTCAGATAATAATGTTATTGTTTGCCTTATGTCATGATGTCTAAATTAAGGTGGAATAAAACCTTTTTTTAAAAAGACTTTAAATTTGCCCAGTTTGGAAACGCACTGCAGCAGTAGCTTTTTAGCCTTTTAGCCTTTTAGGGTCCAAGTGGTTAATCATTTAAGGTCGAAAGCTCAAACGTTGTTGTTCCCGAGGTTAACTACGATCTAATCTGCATTTATTTTCCTTTAGTAATCCGTAACAACAATGTCTTAATTCAACATGCTTATTCTGGCCGCGCTCACAACATTCATATGCAGAAATAGTGCATGTAGGCTTGGACTACAATGGCCCGGGTGCAAGTTGCAGGATAACAAAGAATAACATATATATATATATATATATCTTTTTAATGCCTTTATAAAGGCTTGATACTTGATATTTTTAAAATGTGTTACATATTACATATTGCATTTAGTGAGTTAGTTAATATCCTGCATGTTGCCAACAGGTTTAATCTCAACTCAAAGCCTTAACAATTTTAGTGTATCCTATTTTAACAATTGTATCAAGCCATGGGCCTGCATGGTGTGTTTCTTCCATAAGTATTTTGTAATATAAATCATAATTTTAGGTTCAATTATTTTCAGAATAACAACATAAAAATGTTAAATGGCAGAAACATTTCTACATCTGATTCTAATAATGTATTTGTTTTGACAAACTATTTTAAAGCATTATCAATTTGAATCAATTGTTATGTTAATACAAATTTATTGTCGTGACGATTTATTTAAATTAATCATTTGAAATATTTAAAATCATTATACTGATTGGCCTGTCAATATAGTAGCTTACTATTTTTAAAATACAACACAGCCTAAGTACTGACATTTCAAAGTAGTTTAACTCGCTGTCATTAGAGGAAACACGTTTTAAAAAGCGGGGAAAGTTGTATTTTCTCTGACACACAAACACTCTAAAACCGGCCTCCTCTTCAAGTGCTCCATGGAGCTTTTTTTTTGTAGAAGGCGCTTGGGTGACTCGCCTGCATGAATCAATCTGACACCTTTCCTCAACGGGTCATTGCGCCCCATTCTCCACGATGATCACTGTCCTGGCCCAACGTGACTTTTTACTCTTTGGTGTCATAAATAAGCGGCAAGCTATCCGTAGGCCTAAACACACCAACAAAATCGAGCAGATAAAACAGACAGAGGAGCTAAAGGCTGTTCGCACTTTTGAGTGAGTCCAGTCAGAAGACAGGCTGCACAGTCCAAACAATAAAACACCCAAAACCTCACCACTGCACCTACAACCTACAGCCGAGAATAAATGAGCTATATTAATAATAATAATAATAATAATAATAATAATAATAATAATAATACAAATAATAATAATAATAATCCTAATAATAAAATACAATAATAACACATACAATAATAATACTTGTTATTTATAATAATATGTAATTATAACAATAATCATTCAAAAGCACACACAAAACTTTAAGTCAGGATCTCACCTTTTTGGGGCATCCTGCTTGGTTGTCAGAGTCCTTGGTAAACTATAGGCTACAGCCTAGTTCTCCACACCACAGAAAGAGCACAAAAAGCCGACCAGGATCAGTCTCTCTCGGGAAGTTTAGAAGAGGAAAAATTAGTTTCCAGTGGTCTTCGGCGGAGACGGAGGGGATATCCCTGCGAAGGGGACAGAGATTGACAGTGAACTCAGATGTCAGGACGCACGGAGTTTGGCGAGGATGTGCGCTGGCGTGTGAGAGAGCGAATGAGAGAGTCGGAAAGAGAGAGAGAGAGAGTGGGGAAGAGAACGAGAGAGAGGGGTGGGGGGCGGAGAGAAGGAGGGAGGGAGAATGGTGGTGATGGTAGAAGGAGGTGGGGGTAAGAGAATGAACACACCTATGCTGATTGGTGATGGAACAAGTGTATTAATGTATGTGTTCCTGGTCTGCTGTGTGCGCCTCGCCTCGCCTCGCCTCCCTCCGCTGCTCTTCACTGGCCCATTAGCGCGACCCGACCTCTGTCATCATCCCCCATATAAACACTTCCCCCTGCACCATAGCAAAAGCGGCAAACGGGGCCGAGCCACAGCGAGAGAGAAAAGAGAGAGAGTCTTCGCATCCCACTAATCAGCCCACGCATGCAAATACCCTGCGCTCACTTGCTGAATATTGCCCTATTGCAAAGCAACTGCCTCGGAAATGCCCATTGGTTGGAAGGCTCTATTCTTCCAGGCTGAATTGGGTCTGCACTGGGAATCTGAGGCATGTTCATCAGCTCCAACCTGAGGCTAACTAGTGCTGCAGTGAAACGGGAAGTAGCACAGCAGCAGCAGCAGCAGCACGTGAACCAAGGCGCTCATAACACTGCATAACATTTACAAAGAGCTGCAGCGTGTTTTGTAACGAAACAAGGCACTGTTCTGCAGATGTGGGTAATGTCACATTAAAACAGGATATTATATCGTTATGTTGAAAAGTTTGGAGACATTTTGGAAAGTGTCCAACCCTGGTTTCTTTGTGGTTCCTGCGTCCATGTGGGTTCTCAGTGATTGACATATATAACTATTTACAATTGTTTACATAACTTACACCAGAGTTGCTCACTTTGTGAAACACTTCAACTTAAATCAGCTTAGCGCAGGAATTAACTCAATGCTCGAACATAGGATTTTGCAGCCCCAAAAGTAAAACTGCATTGAAAGTGCAGCTAAGTTGTGGAAAGTTATTTTTTAATATCCTATGTGAGCATATTTACTTAAAACAAAAATATTTTACATGTCCATGTGGCACTGCCCTCGCTCACTAAAAATAATAAATGCCCACCACGTGCTTTTGTTGATTATTTTGGGTATCACCTTCCACTGAATAGCCTCACCCCTCCTGTCAACAAGGACACCATGCGTAAAGAGCGCAGCCTTTATGCATGCTCCGGTGCTTTTTATGGACACATTTGCGAGGCACGGCGACGTCACTCCTGCGACCTGACAGCAAATAGCACGCGTAAATAAAGTAAAGCAAATGACTGTGTAGCCATGGCCACACGCTCCCAAACTGCACTGGTTGAATGACTGGCTATTAACGCACACCTCAACGCACCCAAAAGCAACCCCTCTGCGCCCGTGTTTGAGCATACACCCCGAGCTTTGGGCAGCACCAGTCTTAGCTCTGAGGAGCCCCGTTGCTCACTCCAAAAGGAGGAAAACCGAAGGGAAGAGAATGAGGGTTGTATGGATGTGGATGCCAAACTATAGCAGAAAAGGGGGTGCATGAAAGGGCAAAGAGAGAGGGGGGAGAGGGACAGGCATAAGCAGGGGGAGGGGAGAGAAATTGCTTCTTTTTTTGGATGGGAGGCCATGAAATGAAGTCATAGAGGCCTACACTTGACTTTCTTTGACATGTGAAAAAGTAGGAGAAGTCAGAGCTCATCAATAAAACACTTCGGAGGTGAAAGAGGGCTCCCTAACAACCATCGCATTCCTGACTATGGGTTCAATGAGTAGACAAACGACACTGCCAGAGAGAGAGAGGGTGAGAGTCAGAGAGGGAGAGGGAGGGAGGAAGGGGAGAGAGAGAGAGGGACTGCCCAGCTTGAATGGGGCCCTCAGTGGGCCGGCGAGATAATGAGCTGAGAGGACCGGCTCAAACTGTCACCGAGGGTCCCGCGGTGAGGAACAACACTTTGGCCAATACTCCTTCATCAAACAACCCGTAAACTAAACGAGCACATTCATCTGTTTCTCCTTGCTGCATTGTTTCTACTCACTTAGACTGGTGGCTCAGCCTATAGGCCTACCGTGAATGGCCGCAGCTTATATCAGCTAAGGGGGGGTTCCCAAACATTTTCACGTCAAGAACCCCCCTATTAGACATGCATTAGACGACAAACACCCCCCCACTAGTAACCCCATCCGATAGGAGTTTGTGCAATGAGGGGAGCTTGTGTTGGTTATGATTTACAGTCTAACTGAATGACAGGACACGCTGAAGGTGGAGCTAAACTTCCGAAGAGACATTATGAGATTGACTTTTTGTCTAGTTGTTTAACGGAGGGAAATTATTTTCTGGTGAGAGAATTTAATTAAAGTTACAGACATAGTGTAATACTAAAAAAACATAGTTGATTGGACTATCTCCTACTCTGTTTACCAAACTGTGCATCCTCCAGTTGGCTGTCAGAGGCATCTAAACCTCAGCCATGTTTTTATAGATATATATAGGCTAGGCCTACTTGTATTATTTGTTTCGGATTTGGACACTTAAGGTGTGCTCAATTTTGTAACACGACGCTGATAAACATATAGCATATCGTTATGTGGTCTCGAATGGACAAAAAAAAGAAAAACTGTCTCCATGCCTGTTTTTAAGATAATTGTGGTTAGCCTATACCTTTGTAGTGCAAATGTTATTGCCACTCACTTGTCACAGACTGCAGCTGTCAAAAATTCACACCACTAACTTGCCCTCGCTGAAAAGACAGATTCCCCGATGAGTGTGTCAAGTAGTTTTCTTTGGAAACAATACCTCCAGTAGGTTATTGATTTATTTGGTTAAGCTGTAAATCCGCTCCAAGAGCTAATTCGTTGTCTGCACTCTCGGGAGATATCGTATTTGTTTCATTCACATCCTTCACTCGCATGTCAAAGCCTTAACTTGATCAGAAAATAAAATGCAAAACATGTTTCCTATATATTGTTTCACTGTTTTGTAAGGTAGTCTAGATTTCTGTGTTAGTCTGTAAAAAACGGGTTAGGATGATGTGAGGAAAGCAATTAGCCCAATTCGGATTAGCAGCAACTAATGCCACAGGCCTTGAAAAGAAAGCCTAATCTGGTCGCTATTTTCCCCCCAGGGCAATTTGGTATTTGTACCCATCTAGGAACTTTTAAATGCAAAAAAAAGAAAAGGATGAAAGAAAGAAGACAGAAGGGGAGGGAGGGAGATGCAGTGAAAAACAGTGACATTGTTTTTGGACAGGGAGAGGGATGTAGTGCAGGGTAAACCTCCTAATGTAGTACTTATTTGGGATTACAGTTTCAGGGCTGATGCACATTTATAAATTCATCACGTATGAAACTGGTTGAAATGGTGCTTCCAATCCGGTTAATATTTTAGGAAAAACAGTTTTTTTCTTTTTAATTCTTGAATGCTTGTTTGCCTTTGTGATGATCTCCCATTGGAGGTCATAGTTCACTCACCTTTTATAAAGCAGGACATCTGGGGAGGTCTATTAGAAAATGTTACAAGATTGTTACAAGCTTGTTTATAGTAAATAAAGGTGGCTGAGCTGATTCCTTCTGATTCAAGGAGATTTTTAAGAAAAAAGTAATGGGGTTACTTGTTATTTTTGGAAGAATACATCAAATATATATATTTTAGTTTCAGGACAGCGCTGCTTGCACATTATAAACCCTGTGTAACTGTTATTACTTCCAACAAATCTCATCTCTACCTGCTGCCTAATTAAAATTGCACAAGCCTACCATTTTATTACACCTGCTTCATGCACTATTGAGCAAATAATCAAATTCAATATTATAAAATCTATCATAATCTTTGTTTCACTATTGATAATTATTGATGATAACAATAACAATTATCAGATGGCATTTTTATTTCCATTCAATTAAAAAAAAATTGTTGGCAGCACTATAATGGACTATATTTGAGCCAGGAAAAAAATGTGTATTAAAAAAACACACTACAATTATAACTATTTTTAAAATAATTAATAATAAGAGTAATTTTCAACTGATGTTTATTGTTTGTTTCCAATTATCACTACAAACGTCGATCTGAATTTGTAAATTGTATTCTTGATGAGTTGACCTGTCATTCATCAAACAGCCTTGGACTGTCAGATTTATTCTCGCTAAAGAGATTCATGAGGACATCTCTGGTTTATTTGCATATATTATTTGCACTTTAACAATGAGCAATTATGTTTATATCAACCATAATTAAATAAACTTCTTTCATTAATCTGCTCTTTTTTATTTTTTTTACAAGCACATGGACCGCGTCCCGGAAGACATCAATCTATTAATGCTGACTTATTTCTCAGCACACTAAGCAATATGCCAAAATACCTCCAGGTAAAAAATAAATACTTGAAGATGTTACTTATTTTGTAAACAAGCATTTTCGCATGTTTCAGTACAATAAAGATGCCAACACATGTCATTGTATTAAATTAATTAGGGTTTATCCTCCATTGTTGCAAACGTATATTTTGTGTATTTACCTAATTATTTGTGCAAGTTTATGAGGACAAAAAGGCCAGGATTGAGAATTTCTTGTGCAGCCTGCTGAAGGTGTAACCACAGTCCACAGAAGCCCTCTCCTGGCAAAAGGCTGAAGGCTGGGATAAACACCGGGCTAATGGTGTCACAGCGCTGCTCGCAAGCGTGACAAAAAGAAACACTGGACCCAAACATACAAGAGCCATGGACCGAGACATCCAGTGTCCCAGCTACTGTTTGGAAATTAGATAGTATTTTTATACATTACTTTATGAATAAAATACAATATATATATATATATATATATATATATATATATATATATATATATATATATATATATGGGAAGGACATCTAATTAAAGATGGCAATAAAATAGAAACAAATAAAACCCCACATCAATATAGGTATAAACACAAGGCACACGTCATTAAACAAATGTTTGTTTTAATCTGAAACCGCTCACGTTATTTCCCTGCTTTGTTGTTTTATTTTAGTTTTACTTCCTGGAAAAATTATGCAAAAAAAATAAGTAGCCTAAGTTAAAACACGAC